TTTTTGCTAAGAATTACCGCAAGCTGCATGAGTATGGAATTATTGACTAGGATACTAGGACTACGCTCGTTATTTGTCAGAGAGCAATAGAAACACAATGCAGTATAACTGCCTTGAAATTAAACTGATTGCAATTGCCACTGGTGGCCGTATCGTGCCACGTTTTGATAAACATACATCGGTAAAGATGAGTTACGATGGACTGGTGAGGGAGTTGAATGAGTATCCTGATAGTAGCCGAAAGATTTATGTGAAATCAGCTTGAAATTCTAACTTTTAGGCATTGAAACCAGTAGTCAATAAGAAGGAAGATATAAATCTGTTCTGTAACATTAATTAATTTCAAACCATTGATATACCAAATAAAACGATGTACTTCAAAAACGTAACTTATTTTTTTCTCATTTCGTGTAAAATAATCTTAAAATAAACCATATGAATTTATTTCAAACAATTTCCCAAACAATGTTTAAAGCGATTCCGAGGTTAACACAAAGCGGATATGTTGGTTCGTCATGTTCAGCCTTAATAATAAGCCTTAACCAGGAGAGCATCGACGGTTCCAATTCCGAGGAAATGTGATTCACTTCTACAATAAACTCATTCGGCGGAAATCTAGAAGATGTGGCTCTCCGGATGCCATAAGTATGGATGGTGCGGAAAGCTTTCACAACTTCGTATTCAGCTTCAATCAGCGTAAATTCCTGAAGTTATCGTCCCACGGTCAAGATCCTAATGGACGAAAAATCCATCTCCAACTGGTTCACCTGTCATTCAAAGGAAGATATATATATATATATAATATAATAACTTTCCAAATAGCTCCTTCTTCCTTTGAACGACAGATTAATAGTTTGGCAATGTAATATTCCTTGAATCAAAATGGTCTACTCTTCGATTCCTACACAAAAGGAATAAATTTAAAAATATTAGTTGAATTTCTAAATACGCACACACAAAATCCCAGATGACACCGGGTAAATAAACAATGAAATCTGTCTAGCAACGGTGGTAACAAACTAGAGCTAAATATTTCTTAAGTATTTTTAAGTATTTTCAGGTATCTTAGATATCAGTAAGAACTTTCTGAGTATAATGCAAGAAATACAAAGTTTAGAGTGGGATGCCCCTAGCAAAAAAGAAAAAAAAACTTAAACTAACTTGCGAAATTATCGTAACTTATGCAACGGCGCCGGTGGTGTAGTGGTAAGCGTGATTACCTCTCACCCCAGCAGGCCTGGGTTCAATCCCAGTCGGCGCCGCCGGGATGTTCTGAGGCATAACATCTCTGATCACGCCTTCCTTCGGATGGTAAAGTAAAGCCGTTGGTCCCCGGTTCATGAGTTGATGGGTCGATAGGTAGGGTCCAGGTGTGGGAGCTGCCTTCCTGGCACGTCGGTAGCATTGGTGCTCAGCACGGAAAACAAGATCGACGGAAAAAAACAAACCAAAGGAAAAAAAAAAAAATCGTAACTTATGCAACCAACTAAAGACAGCCATCAACTCTGCATATGAGGATTGTAACCGCAAAGTCGAAAATGAAGCGCTATACACCGACTGCAGCATTTGACCGAATTGACATACCATTATCAATCCTCAAATTGCAGAAAATAGGAATGGAGCCTCGACTTTTGAATTGGCTTCAATCATACCTACACACCAAAATATTCTGAATTTTACTGGCGATGTAAACATCCATGCATGCAAACAGTCATACATGTAAACTTCCTTTTCACGTAAATTAGCAACTTGCAAGAAATGTTGCAAACAAAAGTGAACAGTTGCATACAATATATGGGATAATGCATGACATGTCTCATAAATTTACACGATTTATAATCTTAATTTGTATGATATATGACGCTCCATTTATGTGCATCATAGTAACGGAAATTTACACTACTTTTTTTAGCAGTGTAACACATCGTAAACAAATAGTCCGCTTTCAAAATAAACTTTCAGAACTAATTTTAGTCACCTCTGGGGTACCTCAGGGTTCTCATTTAGGCCCACTTCTTTTTTATTTTGTACATAAACGACATTTCCTACACACTTAAAAAAATAAAACTGGTTGTATATGCACCTTTCGAAAAATTCATATCTCATTCAATTTATGCGAGATATAGCGCACATAAAATTAACGCTAGGTTTGACATACATTTACACGATATTTCGTGTAAATTTAAGCGCAATATCGCATAAATGAACAATATTGTATGCAAGCTTGTAAACGATTTCGCTGGTTATGCCGAGAATAGCTCAAAATTAAACGAAGGGAGATTTAACGCGTTAGTTAATATTCAGATTTTTTTCTGTGTGCAGACGACATTAAGCTATTCATGGAATTAAGTAATTCCAGCGATGCAGAAGAATTCCAGAATGAAATCAATATATTCAACAACTGGTGCAGTAAAAGTCTACTTCAACTGATCGTTAATAAAATGTACCGAAAAAGCATTTAGCAGAAAAATTTTAACCCCACATATTGGAATATCATTAGGCAACCAAATAGTAGAAAAATGCAAAATTGTATTGGATCTAGGTGCAATCCTAGACTCCAAACTAACTTTTATAGAACATTATAATACTATCATTAGTAAAGCAAACAGAATGCTAGGCTTCATCAAAAGGTTCAGTCATAATTTCGAAGACCCATACACTATTAAGCTTTTATATACCACATATATAAGGCCAATTCTGGAATACTGCCACCTAGTATGGAATCCATACATTTCCATACACGAAGAACGCATAGAATCTGTCCAAAAACAATTCCTTTTATATGCTTTACGTAAATTGAATTGGACTGCATTTCCATTACCATCTTATGAAGCGCGCTGCATGCTCATCAATATACAAACACTTAAGGAGCGCCGCCAATTTGCAATGCTTTTCTTCATCAACGACATTATTTCAATGCGCATAGATTCGGCTGAAATTCTCGCACAATTAAATTTTTACACACCTCGTCGATATCTTAGAACACGGAATTTATTTTCTGAAAAATCGTACAGAACAAACTATGCAAAAAATAGCCCAATCAATGGAATGATGCACCTGTATGATTTGTATTGCGGAACTATTGACATCACTATGTCCAAGCAGCAAATAAAAACTAAGCTAAAACAGAATAGAATTATGCAAAAATATCACTTCTTTGAAGAAATTTTCATTTAAATAAAAAAAATAAATTAAATTAACTTGACAATTCAACAGGTATTGTGACTAGTTTGAAGTTGTCAGGGCTAGGAATTGGAGGTAGAGCTTTTACCAGTAACGCACCACGGAAAGGTGATCTACCAGCATTACTGGTTGGTTCCATCAGTTGTCAGTTGCAGAATTTCAACTGTTCAATGATCAGACCATGCCGATGATCTTTTGGTTTAAAAATTGCAAAGTACCATAATAAGTACTATAACTTTAACAATTGGTTCAATTTCACGTAACCAATTTAATACCGAATAATATGGTATACTGTGAGAGGATCATACCTATGTAGTGTGATCAATGATGTTGAGATTAAATTATGGCTTTAAAAGATCTGTCAAATGTAAATAATCAATTTTCAAATGCATCACACATAAACGTCATGGAATACACCAATCTTCACAATGAGCATTTATCAAACTTCTGTTCATTCACATCCTGAAACTACCGTACGATTTAAGTCACACTACACTGCAATAATCAGCACAATTCCATTTCTTCAGGCAACTTTAACAGAAACCGTAAAATATCACCCGAAGAAAATTTACAACCCCCCCAAACATCATTCGCATTCCCCAATCTGTTCACTTCCAGAAAATTAGGTCATCAGCTCTTGTGCTACAACGACGAATTCATTCCGGGAACCCACTTAGCCCGGTGGTCCCCGAAGAGAATCCTCGCCAGATCTCCAAATTTAAAATCACAAATTATCATCCATAACTTCGAACGCGATTGAACCTCTCCGAAACGATAAAAACATCACCATCATCACTGTTGCTAATGAGCCCCATTTTTGCTTCTTCTTCTGCTGCTGCTGCTGCTGCTGCTGTGGCCTCCAAGTATCGGGAGGGGAATCGAATCGTAAAAGCCACTATTTCGCACCCCGGCAGAGAAAGTCGCACTGTGACGGGACTATCGCAAATTAGTTTCGTTCTAAATCGATTCTTTATCACCTCTGGTGTAGAATCGGACTTTGAGCGAGGAATTATAGGGAAATTATTTAAATCGATCGATTCGCGAGCGTTGCGTGATGAACTGTTGTGAGGATCCTGCGGAATTTGGGGATTACCGTCGTCGTCGTCGTTGTCGTCGTCGGAGGGGCCAACGATCGGTCGTTGCACGCACCGCTGGCTGGCTGGATGTGGTGATAGTACGATTGTGACAGTATTGGCTCGGACGATCCCTCCTGGCAGTGATACGACGATTTCGACTTTGCGGCATTCATCATCCGCATACGAGTGGGTAGCTTCGCTCTCTTTCCTCCCAGCCGATGGGGGGAGCTTTTTCTCTGTTGCGCGTGTGCACACGCTCTCGGAAGCACGGTGTGGGTTGTTGGTTGCTGGTTGGGAGCTTTCTTCTTTCTCCACGGTGGCGTCCGTCGTCCCCGTCTGAAGGCCTTAAACTTGATCGCCGTGCGGCGCGATCGTGGCTGTGTGAGTGGTGTGTTGGTCTCTCGCCGTCTCTCTTTGGGGGGCGCTTTGGGCCGTACGGCTCGCGGCCCGACTCACGTGTGTGTGGTGGATCTGCTCCAGGCGGCGGCGGGGGCCTCGGCCCGGGGCCGCAATCAAAGAGAATAAAACCCGCTGCAGCATTGTCTTCCAGTCACAGTTCACCGGTTGCTTTCCAACAATTAAGACAGCAAGGAGAAGCTCCTCTGCAGACGGACACGAGAGAGTGGTAGTGTGTTAAGTGTTCTCTAGTGAGATTTAAAAGACTTTGCCAGGCACGTCCTACGTTCAGTGTGGTGTCCGTCGAGAACCCCGGAAGGTGTGAGAGATATCCAGAAAGGAAAACATTTCTTCGCTGAAAAAATGAAGCAGTTTGTTGTGTTGTTCGCCGTTTTGGCCGTAGCGGCCGCCGCGCCTCAGTCGGAAACCGATGGATTATTGTCCAGCGCACTCAACTTCGTCAAGAACTGCGGCGACAAGTCGATGGTGCTATGCGTCAAGGTAAGCGTTGTGTGGCTACAGGATAGAAGCTTCCGGAGTGCTGGAACGGGCTGGATCCAAACGGTCAAAAGTGTTTGAGTGATTGAAAATGCGAACGGAATGGGACATTGAATAACTACGATGCTGGAGAGTGCGATCTTGATCATGAACTTTATGCAAAAACAAATAAAAAATCGAGATTAAAAGTGCGATTTGCTAGTGAAAACAAATGAAAATCAAATGCTCAAAGTGATTTAAAATTGATTGGGTTAAATTGGACATGATGATGGTGATCTGATCAAAAGTGCGAAACGGAGATCTAGAAGAGTGATGCAACGGGCTCTGCGCCCAAACGCGAAGATCCAGTTTCTCAAAATAGCAAAAGACTGACTAGTTCCCTGCTAACACATACGCCACCTCCTATCATAAGCGGAACGAGTTACCGTAAACCTTGCCAATGTAATTACGAAATAGAGCTGCCTCGGTAGCAAAGTGTGGATGATGTTGATGTGATGTTTAGCCAAATGATCTTAATGATTCGAACGTGTGTGTGTGTGCACCCGCGGGATATACAGATATGCAAGAGGGAACAAGAGCAAATTGAGGCGAACACGTCTATAAGTGATGGATGCGAGGAAATCGGGAACAAATCATTGGAAACGGCTCATGTCCACATAACTGTTATTCGACTGGCCAAACCAGCTCCTCTTGAATCGCTCGTTCTTTCTCTCCTTCTCTCACTCAATCGTGGTCCAGTAGCCTCTTCAGTTTCAGCAGCAGAACCCCATTCGGAAATCGATTACTAACCTATTTTTCACTTCTCTTTCATGCATTCCATTTTTCCTCTCGAACAACAGGAACGCGCCCTCCAGTATGTGGAAGGTGTCCAGGGTGACATCGAGATCACCGAGGGAATCAAGCTGGTCGAAACTGAGAAACCTCAAGCTCAAGGCCGCTCGTTGAACGAAATTGACCTGCCCGCCGAGCCAGAAGCCCGCGAATCCGAAATCGACAGCCTGCTGGTCGACCGTGCTGCCCGTTTCCTCGGATCGCACACCCTGCAGTTCAAGGTCCCCAAGGACTCCATTGAGGACATGCAGCGCTCCCTGGATGAAGGTAATATATATTAAAAAAAACCAGCCGTCAAGTTCCCACGCTGCGGTCAACGGCGACACCGTAATCGAGCGATGATTATGATGATCATTACGTTGGCGCTCTCGCGCTCATCAGCGGTTGAATGACTCCCGTCTTTGCACACCTCGCCTGCTGTAGTAGGTGGGCGACGGACGAAGGAGGAATGTAGAGAAGAAGCGCGATCGTGAGCACACGCCAGCCAAGCTCTGGTTAGTAAGGCAGTAAGGCGCGAGCAGCGAACACGCTGAACTTGACCTTACTTCGCCGAGCGATTACGCTCGGGAGAAGAAGAAGGCCAAGCCCGATGATGGGATGGGGCTAGAGCGCTGAGCCGGTGGAGCTTTCCTTTCCGACCGTGTTTCAGTTGCAAAATGGTGAGGTTCGTCGCTTGGTGGCGAAGTCACTTTTCCACTGCTATCACATTCAGGGCCAGTGTAGTTTGGGAAAGTTTAAAATTGTTTGTTGGATCAAGGGTGTTTCACGAAGCTTAAGGGCATTAATGCGCATCGATTTGAAGTTTTCAACGATTGCAGCTGTCCGCTCAAAATTGCAAAAAACACCTTGTTGATCTTGTCGGTGAAATGACCCACCAAAAAGATAATTTTTTTATAGCGTTGACATTTTACAAAATTGCAGAATTTGACTCCCGGTTTTGATTTGAAAGAATGCAATTTTCGGACTGCAAACGTTTAAGTAGCTGGGTCTCTGCAGTCAGAAGACTAATTTGAAGAAGACTTCCTTGATAATTTCGGTGAAATCGCACCAAGGAACAACTATTTTTTTCTAACTTTTTAGTTCCACAAAATTTCGCATGACAATTTGAGTCGGGGAAATGACCCACAGTTAAATTCAGCCGAACTATTTGGTTGATCTCAATCAAATTTATCCCAATAGGTTTCACGAAATATGGAAAGGAATCTATCTGGTCACAGTACTCAATTCGCCATTATTTAATTTTAACATATTGAAGCTCTTTCAAACGTCGTTAAAACCATTTATTTCGATTCGGTACGGTACATGCCACGCTTCCCCTAGATTTTGGACTTTTCAATTCACATTGTATTCAAAATAACACTGATTTTAGACATCTCAGTTCTACGAAGACTTGGCTTGCCTTTTGATTGAAAAGCAGGCCCATTTGCTGCCACCCTTGGATCAACTGATTGATTCGGTAAAATGACAACCGGTAGGCACTGAAATGATTCAGTTTAATTATCGTTTCGGCGAAATGACCCATTGCAAAATGATGAAGATTTAAATTCTTAAAATTTGAACTTATTGTTCTTTTTCCAATCACTTTTTCTATGGAATCCATCTCATTCCACTGAATTGTAATCGAAATAACACTGACCTTAGGCCTGTCAGTTCTACGGTGAATTTACTTGCTTTTTGATTGAAATGCAAGCTTATTGGCCACCTTTTTTGGATCAACTGATTAATTCGGTAAAATGATCCACCTTTCCAATCGGTAGACACTGAAATGATTAAATTTGATGATTGTTTAGAGGTAATGATCCACTATGAATGATTAAGATTTAATTTCATGTAGTCTTCTCCTTTCACTGAATTGTAATCGAAATTGCACTGATTTTAGTCATCGCAGTTCTACGATAAACTGTCTTGATTTGCGATCGAAAAGCAAGTAAATTGGCCGCCTTTTTCAATCAATTGATTGAGTCAAAAATATAACCCCTCTTTCCAACCGGTAGACACTGAAAGGATTCAGTTTAATTATTGTTTCGGGGAAATGACCCACTATGAAATGATTTAGATTTAAATTCTTGTATCCTTCTCATTTCACTGCATTGTAATCGAAATAACGCTGATCTTAGACATCTAATTTTTTCGATAAATTTGCTTGCTTTTTGATTAAAACGCAAGCCAATTGGTCGCTTTTTTGATCGAATGGTCGATTCGGCAAAATGACCCTCCTTTCCAAGCGGTAGATGCTATAAAGATTCAGTTTCGTAATTGTTTCGGGGAAATGACCCACTATGAAATTATGTAGATATGAATTAGTTCGATTCTTACTTATTCCCCTTTCACCAATCACTTTGTCGATTGTTTCCTTTTCATTTCACTGCATTGAATGATTTCTCGCGTAACATTTAAAAAGGGCCTGTCAGCTTTAGCAATCCAAACTTGTAAGGCCCTTTCCGCGCGGATCAAAGCTCGCCTATACAAACCAACAACGTCATCGGGTAGGGGAAATTTTCCCATTCTAACTGATGGATACCGAAACGATTCAGCTTTATGATCAGACGAAGAGATCTGTTTCAATTATTAACCCATCTTTCATTTTCTTCAATATTTCGATTTCGGAGGCAAACCAGCCAACAATCTCGAAGCGAAGCTCGATATGTCACTACTTGGAATCCAGAACCACAAATGGTTCGGTGAAATGACCCACCACAAATTTCTACTCGCTGCCCAATCGTCACTCCAACGGCAATCAATGATTGCCCGATCAATGTTAACTGTTTCACTGTTTTCTAATCATTTTTCACTGTATTTCGATGGAATGATTTTCTTAAATGTTGTGACGCTTTCAAGTATAAGTATTGAAAATAGTGGCACTGAATTGTTTCACAAAGTGTGGGAAATGATCCACTGTTCGATCGTTTCGTCTTTCTGTCAAAATTGGTTACTGCTCAGTTTAATTCGGTGAAATGGCGCATCGTAAAATGACCAAACACCATGTTCTGAAGACCTTTCACTTAAGTTTCGGTGTAATGACCCTTTTAGCAACATCTTGCGACGCTTTAAAGACTTAACATTCAAAGTGGGTCAATTAATTGTTTGAAATGACCAATAATTTCATGAGCCTTTCCGTCGAAATTGATCACTGCTCAGTGTGATTTGGGAATTGCTTTAACTCACTTAGTTACACTTAAGTAGCCATCTTCAAGCTGCAAAAATGGTTATTTCTAATACATAGTTCCACAGATCGATACGGTAAAATGGCTGATTCTGATCACGTTTCGCCATATTTTGGTGAAATTACCCCCTTCTCAATATGTTGTGACACTTTAAAGCTTAGACATTCAAAGCGGGGCAGTTAATTACCTCACAAAGTGTGTGAAATGACCCACTGTTTACTAATTTTATGAGTTAAAATTTCTCACTGTTCAGATTGATTCGGTAAAATGACACACCATGTAATTGCTTCAACTGATTTGGTAACGCGTGAGAAGTCATCTTTAAACAGTAAAAACATTTTTCGCTAATCCCAAGTAATATTTCAAGTTTTATCGAGATCTTAAAGCATTCTAACAGTCTTAATCATGGTCTTCAGAACCCTAATGAAACCAAAATTGTTACTTGAGCACTCATCACATTTAACTATATTTCGATAAAAGGTTCCTCTCTGCAACATGTTGCGGTGCTTTAATGTCTAAATTTTCAAAGATTGGCAACCAATTGTCTCACAAAGTATGTGAAACGACCGCTTTTCAATCATTTTATGAGTCTTGCTGTCGAAATTGGTCATTGCTAAGTTTGATTCGGTGAAATGGCGCTCCATATAATTGCTTCATCTTACTTGATTATACGTAAGTAGTCATCTTCAAACATTTCTGTTCAATCATTCAACGGATCGATTCGGTAAAATGACCAATCTCTGTATTCCGATTGCTTTTCATTATATTTCGATGAAATGACCCCTATTGGAACATGTATCGATGTTTTCAAGCTTTAAAATTCAAAGAGTTTTGATTATTTGCCTCTCAAAGCGTGTGAAATGACCCACTTATCGATCGCTTTAAGAGTCTTTCTGTCGAAATTGATCACTGCTCAGATTGATTCGGTGAAATGGCTCTCCCTTAAAATATGTTCTACCCAATAGTCAACGTGTAAGAAGAACTTTCCTGAAATATAAACGTTGGGCATTTCTAACCCTCTATTAAGTAGATAATTTCGGTGAAACGACCTCTGCAAATTAAACCCCTTTTTGGTTCAAAAATGTCTCAAGAGAGCATTAAGCGGAGTGGATCGGTGAAATGGCCTACTGCCTAGTAACCAAATTTCGTTTCAGACAATTTTTCAAACGATGAATAATCTTTCGTTTGCCAAATTGACACAACTGTCAAATGCTTTCTACCCACCCAGCAAGCCGTTTCGGTTAAATGACCCTCGGAAATTGTCCGTCACTGAACCAACTTGAAAGCAATGTTTCCATCTCCGATTGCTCCGAACCAACAAAAGCCATCTGATGCCCCGATCGGCAGATCCGGGTTCGGGCATTGAACACCGCCAGCGCCATATTTGGATCACGTAACCGCACATGACTCTTTCTCTCGCTCGATTACGCAAACACACGACCGAATCGAAAGTTGCACAACTTTCACTTTCCATTTTTGACTTCATCGCTCACGAATTCCTTTCCTTCCTTTCATTCTCTCCCTCTCTCTCGCTTTCGCAAACAGCCCGTGGCAAGAAGAAGAAGGTCAAGAAGCTGCTCCTGCCCCTGCTCCTGCTGTTCAAGCTGAAGGCCGCCGCCCTGCTCCCACTGGCCATCGGATTCCTGGCTCTGATCGCTTTCAAGGCTCTGATCGTCGGCAAGATTGCCCTGATCCTGTCCGCCATCATCGGTCTGAAGAAGCTGTTCGACAAGAAGCCAGAACAGAGCTACGAAGTCGTCGCCCACCCACACTACTCGCACTCGACCTCCTTCGATGATCACCACGGATACGCTCGCTCCCTGGATTCCCAGAACCTGGCCTACTCCGCTCACTCCCAGTAAGCTGCTTGCCATAACAAGTTCTGTGTAGCGAGAATTTGAGCTCCCCCAGCCCCCTCCCCCTAAGTCCCCTGGAATCCCGAACCCCTTGTGTCTACTTCCCAACACTTCCATCCTTTGATCTATCTGAATCTTCCAGAAGGACCAGAACCAGACAAGCATAGTTAAGTAGGTTACAATTCTCGGTCATCCTATGGATCCCAAGGAACTTTCAAAAAACCCTTCCGGAGTTCCCGGCAAGGGTGTGTCGACTTCCCCTTTTCTAATCTCCATTAGACACACAAACACACACGCTCAATCTCACCTCCCACCATTTCCCCCCTCTAACATGAAAACTCTCTTAGATTAATTTAATTTATTTGCGATGCGAGATGAACCAGTTGACGTCGGCGAAAAAGAAACGCGTATTTAATAATTTATTTTTTTGCTCGAGAATATTTATTTAGAGATTATTTGTTTTTAGGTAGTATTTTTCCCCTTTCTCGAAACAAACAAAAACCTATTCTCGTCTACTATCGCTGTGTGACCTTAGCTCTCTTTTCTCAAGTGCCTCCTAACTCTAACTATAATACCAAATAATGCTCACACGAATCACGATTAGATTAGATTGTACGCAACGATCACTCTGAATCGGTCTCGGAAGAAGCGCAGGCGACCGGGCAGTCTTTGAAAACTAGTAAACTCAGACCCACATCAAGTTCAATAGGAACCCTAAAGCCAAAATACGTTCAAAACGGATCAGTGCCAACTTCTTCTGACAGAAGCATTCAAACAAAATCAAAATCAAAACAAAGTTTCAAGACTGCACTGACGCTGACCACGGGTTAGGGATGCGGGTCCCGGTGTCTACTTTCGCCGGTTTTTGGTTCGATCTGGAAACATTTGGCGAAGGTTGATGCCACCCCCCTGCCCGTCATCCCAAACCCCACTGCTTCCCAGCCTGGACTTGTCAAGCTAAACACTCGTGAAAAGTAAAAGTTTATATTAAACTGTAGTAGCGACTTCTGTTACGCGAAAAATTAGTCCTCTCTTACTCTTAACTCTCTAGGAGGGGGCTGCCCGCCCCCTCTCGAACTCTGCCAAATCGCTCATACTCAAGATAGCAAATACGAACACCTACCTACACTTTCTCTACCTCGGATCTCCCAAAAAAGCCCCCCCTCCACCATCGGTTTGGGGGCATTGGTATTTCTCTCAATATGTCTTCATTTAAATTTTCAAATAACTGAATTCTTCATTCTAGCTAACCCTCAAGCGCAAATTTCTCCTAAAAATTTTATCTCTCACGCGCGCCCCTCTAATTTCCCTTCCCTTCGCGCCCGGGCGTGCGTCTTTTTCCACGGAAAGGAAAAAGCTTACTCAATCTTAAAAACAAATAACTACACACACACACACTGCAAAAACAAAACGCAACTTTTGTAAGAATGATCGGTTCTGTTATTTATTGTTTAAATTATTGAAAGAAAAGAAAAACACACCCACAATCAACTCAAAAAAGAATGAAATAAATGAAAAGTGAAAATATAAAAACAAACAAAACTTATTACTGCCCCACGCGAGAAAGAAACACGTCCCTTCCAAAAAAAAAAACATCAAAGGAACCCCCCGCGGTCGTCGACCCCTCGCTGAGTGATTTCGAAAAAAAAGGCAAAAAAAGAGAAACTCTCCCTTTTGTTGGAGCAAAAACAAACACCACTCACAGTTCGAAAACCGGCTTCCCTTCGAAAGTAAAAACCTGATACCAGTGATATCGTGTTTTCGCACAAACAAATAGCGTCACCATGGGAAAATCGATCCGCATCCATCTCTCTCTCTCTCTCTTTCACACACACACACTCGAAAACCCATTGTCCAGGCCCGCTCAGATGGTGGTCTTCTCGCAAAACGGCAAAGGGAAAGTTTCAGGGCACCGCTCGTCTCCGTCCCCGCCATTCCTGACCGGTGACCGGTGCGTGGAGGAATTTCGAAATCGAATCGCACTCGGGGGTGTCGCCTCGACATCATTCATTGGTGTTTATTTATGCAAACTTGCTTGCTCGTTATCCCCCGAATATCGAAACGCACACCGTCTTGCTCGGAAGACTCCGCTGGGGAGAAAGTTATTCCGCCCCTTCCTCGTGCCCTAGCTGCGACGTGGTCCTCTTTTGCATATCCCATAGTACACATTGGGACGGAGGACGGTCGAAAATCTTTTTTTTTTTTTCGTTAATGAATGTCTTTGCAGCAGCACACTTTCTCGCGTGGACGGCTTCAGGGGTGGAAAAATTAATAATAATGTCGATTATAACCGAGACACGGCTTATTACTTAGTCAAAAGTTTGAGCGTGCGTGGATGGTGAAATTGGTGTGGCCTCGATGTCCAGTTTCGGGGGCTTCGGACTGCGTGCTGCCATCGGAGTATGATTGGGTTCATGTATATTGATTGTTGCTTTTTGTTTTTTCTTCGAACGGGCCACCGATTATTTTTTTCGAAAGTGGAAGTTTCACTTTCTTTCAAGGCTTTTGGAGAATTCGTAATGATTGTTGACTCTGTTTTTTTTTTTTTTTTGAGGAGGTCATTTGGATAGCATTCAAATTTAAATGCAAACGTGGCTTGCTTTGGAAATGTTGTCAGGTGCACTCGGTGCCGGGCTGATTATTATTATAATTATTATATTAGCAGGCTGGGTATAGCTCCAATGATGTTCAATTGAGTCAACAATACAGTATATGGGTCATTTCGCGCCAAGTGGTCACAAAATATTGCAAAAGTGAAATTGACCTCTTCCGATTTGGACCAAATTTGGAGAGAATGTTCATTTAAGTTCAAATTCTAAAAATCCAAAGTCTTATGTCGATCGGAGCATCCCTCGATCAAGAGGCGCATTTTCCATTTTCCGTTATTTTTTAGAAAGCACTACTTTATTTTGGTTATATCTCTGGACCGAATGAAGCTATAAATTGCATTATGTATTATGTGGTCCAGAGCGGAAAAATACATGGAAATTGGGTTTTGCGCAAAATCTACTGGTTTTAGTGTTTTGATGTCTTGAAAAGAGTTGTTGGTAATAAAAAAGCGCATCTTTTCATTGGAGCAGTCATCAGGGTGATTCATTTTTAAGGTGACTTCAAAAATCTAACTCTTCAGGGAAATTTTTGGATTTTTTTTACTTCTTCAAAGTTGTAGAAGATGCAAAACCAAGCAACTTTGTCCAAGATGTCAAATTTTTATCTCATCATCTACGCATTCTACGAACTGAAACAACTTAAAGGTAAGGGTGATTCATGAAAAAACAGTTTTTTGACCATAACCTTGTATTTTGAAAAAAACTGTCCTTCAAAACACTTTTAGAACTTTAAAAAAACACACATTTTGATTCCCTAAGTATGACGTTTGGACAAATGAATCAAAAGATGTAGCCGTTTTAAGGTAAGAAACGCGTATTTTTCAAACTAATGTTACTTTAAAACGCGCAAGTCAATTTCAAATCTATTGAAAGTAATGGAAAGAAAAAAATGTTGTTCTATATTTGCTGAAAAAATAGCAGAGGTATCATTTTTTTTAACTCGAGATATTTGAATTAGAAATTTGTCATTTTTTAAGGAAAACAAGCCATAGAACATCAATAAAAGTGGCAATAACCGGTCATTCACCGAAGTCAGTAGAGTTTTACCGGGTTTTTGAACAGCAGATCAAGTCGGTAAATTTTTCCAATGACCGTTAAACGTGATAAATCAATAAATTTGACAAATTTTATTTTTTATAGCTAAATGGGGTAAATTAAACAAAGTCTGTACAAGTTCGGAATACATTCACTAATTATTGAATTTTTAAAAGATTTGCAAACTTTTACCGAACAGTTTTGTAGTTCAAAATTTACAAATCCACCATTTTTTATACATTTGATTTGTGAGAGTACATTGAAATTAGTCAACTTGGCTAAAAATCACAATATTTGAATATCGATGCTATGTGAAACATTTATTAAAATGCACAGAAAGGGGAATTTACGTATTCTCGTCAATTTAAGCAGCACCCGAGCTCTAGGCGCCTAATACAAAGGTGCCCCAGAAGGAAGAAGTGTTAGTTTGTTTACTAAAATGGCTAATTGGCAAATATTGCTATAGCTGCTGTTTATAGCTGTTCAGTTGCAGGCAAGCGTTTAGTTGGCTATATGGACCCATGCATTGATTATGTCACGCTAAATCAAAATTAACCCCCCTCCCCGCTATTGTCACGTTTTTCCTATACCTAATGCATTGCATATAACAAAATATTAGATCCCCCTCCCCTCTCCCCTTATAGCGTGACATCAAATATGCATCAACCCTATGTTGTATTCTAAGTTAGCTCAGATGGCAAGGCAAGCGGTTAACTGTTCACTAAGATATCAATACTTCCTATCTGTTTCCTTTTTAAAATAACAGTAAACACTGGTTCAATTTTGACTGTTCAAATTGGTTCAAAAATCATTACGTCTCCGTCAGACCGCTTGAGTCCAGTCATGGAAAATCATTTGCATTCATTTCGTGCATTCATTTACATTCATTTGCCCCTAACTTTTTTCATCAACCGAATTCCGCAAAATGATGTATGAAGCTGTTGTAGATTTTGTTATTAACTTCAACTTTTGTAGACAATTCAAATCCATATCTCTAACGCATGACGAACCAGAGTGAACAGAAGCCACTACTGTTTTTTAGTGAATGTATTTCACATTCACTGAAAAACAGTAACAAGTAACAGTAACAAGCCCGCTCTAATTCGTGTTGCATAAGAGATACAGCTTTGAATTATGGGTAGAAGTTGTAGTTAATACCAAAACCTACAAAAACTCTGTACATCATTTTGCGGAATGCTGTTGATAAAAAAAAAGTTAGAGGCAAATGAATGTAAATGAACGCATGAAATGAATGTAAATGATTTTCCATGCCTGGGCTTGACCTTTGACGTGTATATTTATTTAATTTATTTAAATTTTTTTTCTTCATCGGACTTAACGTGTCTAAGTCAAGCCTTATGGGGAAAAACCTAGAAAAGGCGTAAAAATCCCATATCTTTTCGAAATACATGAATCACAATAATACAATACAATTATAAAAAACATTTATCAAGTCTATAGCATAAAAAAAGTTATCCTCCTATGGCATAGAGTTGTCCGTGAATCAGGTAGAAGTCCTTCTCAAGAGTCTGCGTTGAATACGGTGACGAAAGGTTTCCGCTGTACAGTTGAAGTCGAAAAACTCGTAAAACTCGTTGAAACGCCCAGACATGAACCGTATTGGGTCATGCAAGCTGTAGTTCGCAGCACGAGGTCCAAGATGCGGGAAACTCCTCGACCGAAGAACTCCTTTGGGGTGCGTAGATTTCGAATTCAGTCAAGATTCCTGGAGAGTCAATATCACCCATAAGCAAGGAATCAAAAATATCTCCAAATGACAAAATGACAAGCGATCAACGAACCGAATAATAACGCTATGTCAGAAGTGCAAAGCAATAATGATATAATCTTCTTCCA